ACATTAAAAGTTTTATGACTTTTTATAGTTTTACGATTATCAATTAAATGCTTAAAATTCAAAATTCCCTCGAGAAGCACAATAAACAAGCAATTCCGAAAAGTTCTGTGAGCACTTCTACATTAATATAGACGACAGCGTGTCTCGTCATTGTGGCATGAAATTAGACTTCAACAACAGTGGCAGCAATGGCAGCAATGGCAGCAACGGCAGCAAAAACGAAAACAACAAGAATCACAATCAAAAGTAGCTGGAACGGGTGACAAAGTAACCTATACCAATAAACCCTACAAAATGTCAAGCTAACACTACAGCCCAGTATATCACACCACACCAGAACACCCACTAATTCATAGCAACAACCAACCGTTCATCTATACATTTCATTCGACGAAATGAGCGGAGGAGCGTGTCTCTCAGCAGACAAAGTGTCATTATCATACAAGGCCAAAGACAGACACTTGGGATAAAAGGATTTGCGGCTGTGAGCAGCAGCTCTACGCGTTATGGGTATTTGCATTTAATAGCTGATAATTACAACAACAATCAATGCAATCACTAATATAAATTAAAGGCGGTAAGGATAATAAGCTTGAACGAGCTTAAACGCTTAAGTACTTTACAATATACAAGAAATATCATTTCCTATAAAGGCAAATAATATAATTTAATAGCAGTAAAGCCATTAAAGTGTACATTAAGCTCATGCATTTATGTATGTAAAAATGTTTGTTTGCTTATTTGCATATAGCAACAAATTTTAATTTTAAATGGTTTTTGACCTTAACACAAAAGTACGAGTAACGCTGCACTTGCATGCATTTCTTTTCGGGCCCCCCCCAATAAAATATTCAAAACTTGGTGCTCACACTGGTGTTGACTCTACCACTGCCGCTGTATTGTTGTTGTTGTTGTTGCCAGCTCTTAAATGGCACATAAGTACGGCTACTTAAGTATCTATGTGTCTATATAAATAGAGTAGCTTCTAACCATGCCTGATGCCTTGTTTGCCTTGCTTATTTTGCTTGATACGCCATGCCACGCCATGTCTTGTTGCATTTTTTAAAGCTGCTCGAGGATTTACGCCTGTATTTATGCCACAATTTTTGCCTCAGTAAAAACCATTTTGTTTTTGTTGTTGCCAACCTACCAACCAGTACTGTTGTTTACCCTCGCTGCAGTTGAAGCACAGTAAGGACAACTTTTTCGCGCATACATTAATGTATAAATGTGTCCTTTTGATGAGTACAAAGTAAAAAAATTACAAAGGCATTAGTCAACCTCAACCTTTTTATGTGCTACTTTGTATTTACGAAGCATAAAATTAGGCTAAAGTCACACAAAAAAAAATTTTCAATTTCATTTTTAATTTTCTTTTAAATTTTAAAAGCAATAGCTTTAATATTATTTAATATTTATTTAAACTTATACTGCAGGACATCATGAGAGCACATGATATTTTATAAATGTAACCATATTTTTTTATACATTTTTAGTCCACAATTTTATTATTAGGGTTTTTTTAATGGTTATTCCCAGAATACTTTTTTATATTATTTAGAAAAAAAAGACAAGGGTTATAATATTGACTATAATTGGTTACATTTTTTTTTTTGTTTTTATTTTTTTTTAGTTAGCCATTACAGATGTGTGTCGTCTTGGCCGCGTCGAGTAGCCTCTGCCAGTCAGCCCGATTAGTTGCTTTCTGACGCCAGTTGGTAGTACCGAGCGCCCCCAAATCGTTGGTTACATTACATCGGTTTATTTTGAAAGATCTATATAAAGACAACGATATTAGACCCCACATAAGCATACATTATAAAAAAAATTTGCATCAAACATTTTTTTGGGGCTTCGGTCATACCATATGTAGCATCTTATTTTGTTAGCTATTAATTGATCTTATAACACAAAAGATAACTGTATGAAAATCTTCACTATATTTTTCAAAAAGCAAAAAAAAAAATGAATAACAAAAAAGAAACCTAATATAACAACAACAGGTTAGGTTAGGTTAAACCGGCGACCCGTAGGGGATTCACTTAGTCCTATTGACTCATTGTGTTACCGTATATAGAGAACAATTCAGGATTTAAAGCCACATAGTACCTTCGACATAGCTCAAAATGCTGTTTAGTGGCAGGTCTTGTAATTGATCAAGATCCTTAAGAAAGGGAGCCCTTAAAGTATTGAGTCACCGCCGTGCATGAGCTGGGTTAAGACAGAGTAAATGTTGTTGTTGTTGTAACCCGCCAGGACCTGCTTGTGAAGTCCCTTTATTGGTGGTTGAACGGCGCTTGGTCATCTTCGACGAGTGGCTCCGGGAAGTAGACCCGGCCATTCTTGGAATCAGATAGAGTAGATCGTTTTTTCCACTGCAGCGACAGTTATGATTGAAAGGGAGATTCAATCTTTTAGCATGGGTCTTGTTTGCAGTGAGCTGTAAGTAAACTTACCATAAGACTGATATCTCTACGTCTTTGAGGGCTTATTGAAAACATACTGATCAGCGAACTTGGATTCATTAAAAAGTATGGCACTAAAATGCTCACTAGTCTCTTTTTCTTGAAAAAGAAGTTGTAATATAAGTAATAATAAAACTTTACGCTATTAACACTAATAACATTAAAACCTTATTTATAAAAGATGGCAAATTTTTCAAATATTATTAGATAATTTATAGTAGTTGCCAAATTTTAAAAAAATTATCAATAATTATAATTATAACAATTATCCCCTTAATTGTTTAGGGGGAAGTGCCCGCGAGCCGCTAGGAGAGAGTACACAAGGCAACATGTCCGATTATATTTAACATAGAATTCTCGTTATCCTCAAGCTAAGTTGTTGCACAACCTCCACGTGGCACCCCTAGAGAGTTACCTGGCACTCACTGAGTAATGAAATAATATTACGTACAGAGAGAGCTATTTCAAGGACTTTAAGCTAAACAGAGTTTGGCACCCTTCACGTAAAATCGGCCACCAGTGATATTGATTTTTCTTATTCGATAATCAAAATTATAACATGTACGTGCTAAAGATAATTATCTATTCTGTTGATAATACTGGTTCCATTACTTTGGAGCACTTTCATACAGAGAATAACAGTGTTCAAATTCGATTAACACTTTTTGTAGTATATTTCCATCTACAGTTTTAAATTGAAGCAAAATTTTTTTGAGATACTATTCAAAAATATATGCAAATACCGCTTGGTGGTGATGACTTGGGTACGCTTTTGTTTCACTATAATTAAACGTAGTGGTCAAGTTGTTGGTAACTTTTTCATATACAAATGATATGTAAAAATTTTATGAAAGTAAAGAACAAATCATACAACAAAAATTGCTTCTACGAACAGAATAGTATTGAAATTTAACAATTGAAAGTAAAATTATAATAAATTAATTAATTCAATTATTCTACAGCTGGTTTATGATTTCGTTCTAATATAAACACAGCAAGTAAAATTGTTAATAAAAACTTTTATAGTAATAGTAACAAAACTCCAGAAAAATATGTGAACAAAAAAGTCAAGTACGGCTTTGGATCAGTTGGTTAAGGTGCGCTGATTCTGAGCTTCACATTTGGCAGGACCCGAGTTCGATTCCTGGTACTTGCAGTCTCAAAAAATAATTATTTACGAATAATTAAATACAAGAATTATTTCTAAGACCACTGATGATGGGTATTTGGCAATACTCGAAACAGCTGTATGGTCAGCCAAAAATTCAATTAATTAAAATAATACAAAAAATTAATTTTTGTTGTTGTATTTCACTACTGTTCGAAAAAACCTCTTTATGAAAGTATTTATTTAAAATTTTTAATATATCATAAATCAGTAATTTCGTATGTTTTTATTCACCAATCTTTCATCACTATATCATAGGTTTTATTTACTATGGAATTATCTTTCAGTCGTCCTACTGAACCGACATTTTTAACGCACTTATAAAGTCAAAGTGCCATATGCGATTTTTTTCTCAATTCTAATTGCAGAGATTTCGCCAGGATTCATTTAAAATTTCATAAGCCAACTTGTCGAAAAACAAAAGTTTATTATGTATTTTTTCCCTGGCCCGACCCCAAAAACGGGTTTTTACGACCAATTAAATGAGTAAGTAAATTTATTTAAAATCAAAACTTGATTTCTATAGCTTTACTTCTATAGCCTTACAATAAATAATTTTCTATTAAACTTTTTTTTTAATATTTCACTTACCCAAGGACAATGATGATCAAAGCGATCCACACAATTATCACATAGACTGCAATGTGATGCACGTGGCGGTCTAAATATCTTACACGTAAAACAATATTTTAATTTCACAGTTTGTCCTTTGACGAGGACCTCTTTTGTACGTGGTGGAGGTCGATATGTGGGGCTGTTTAGTGAATTTGGCACTTCTGTGATAGTCATGGTGTTTACAATAGCAACAGCAACAGTAGCATCATGTTGAGTACCAGGAGCGAGCAGCAACAACGTCAGACATCCACAGCAAGTGCAATAAAAAATAATGATAAAAATATTTGCAACAGCGATTGAAGTAGCAGTGACAGGAAATGCACCAAACGGAAGCATAATAACATAAAAATGGTTTAAGACAGCATGAAATGAAATAAAAGAAAAAAGATAAAAATGTAAAAATCTCATTAGTGAAAAATACTCAAAATCACGTATAAGAAGAAATAATTTGTTTTTAACTAAACTTTTATTTTTGTTGCTGCCTGGGGAGAGGAATAGTGAACTTACCGATTTGTTTTTCTATATACGCCGCTTCATCGTAAGATGCGCGAGGTATAACACCAGGATCTGTGAAGGTTGTTCGTAGCAAGGAACTCATTGTGAAAAAATATAAGACTGCACCAACAATTGGTATGACAGGATTGATGCGTGTGGCGAGAAAAGGACAGCTGAAATGAAATAAAAATATTTTAATAATGCCAAATTTGATAAATATACTAAATTATTTTACTAGTTGCTTTAAAAGTAAAGTAACTAGTAGTTTTAAAATTAAAAAAATTTTAATATTTTGATTTAATTAATACAAACACATTAGGGGTATTCAGGCAACTGATTAGTTGCTAAGTAGTTGATTACAACAAAAATTTGCACACAAAAATGAAACTAAGCAGAAATTCAACTATTTCGGTGATTCTCAGATTAGTACAAATTTGATTAATAGTGCTACCAGTCCCAAGTGTCGTAATAATAACTTAAAATGAACTTTAGTATAGAAATTTGTTAGCTGTCTCTCTCAGCTGTTTGAATTGTATGTAAACAATTTTGCAAACACAAATATG